TGACTGCAAGAAGCCTCAGGCTGTCTCTATCACCATGAAGATACTTGCTGTCCACACTGCACTAGTTTGGTGTAATGCCTGCAGTTAACGTATGTGATATCATTGACACAGCACAGGTATTCAAACCTTTTGGATTCAAATTTTTAAAATCTGAGCTGCTCAACAGCCTCCAGGATGGAACTGCCTGCATTTTCTTTGTTGAGTGACCTGAAGCCTAGTTTCTCCTGCTTACCACCTGGTCTTAGCTCTACCAACCACTCACTCTTCCTTATTGTTAAACACAGTCTGTGTGAGGAAACCCATGAGGGAGCTGGCCTAGTTGGTGAGGCTAGTTTGGGTATGAGGGATGTACCCGGCAGTCCTTTATTTGGGGGGTTCCTTGATGGGCAATTGGGTATCAGCAGGAGAGTTGAGATAGGAGCCTTGGATTTATTACCATTTTCTTTACCACCCTGATGCTCTGCAGAGTCCTCTATGGTTCTTGGGTCCCTGGGTTAGAAACACTTGCTGAGGTGGGGCTGACCCTACACATTGGGCCTCACGTCTGCTGGGAAACCAGCCAACAGGCTCTTCCTGCAGCAGAGAGCTCCATCTCCACAGAGCTGAGTTAAATGTTCATATGAGGAAACAGATGGAACTGTAATGAACGTTTGGGCAGTTTTCAGGCCACAATTATGCTTTCACACATTTGGAAGTTGTCATTTCTTGATTTGTTCTCTAGTGATATCAATGAATCCCATATCCTTAGTGCAGTACAAGGCTGGCACTAGGGCGAGGCAAGTGAGGCACTCACCTCAGGTGCAAAATTTAAAAGGGTACCAGAAAACTTAGTAATCAAATAACATTTTAAATACAATATTTAAAAAATATAAAATCAGCAAACTGTGGCCCACAGGCTAGCTACCTATTTTTGTACATAGAGTTTTACTGGAACCAGGGCTAGGATTAGGGTGCAGGGTGGCAGTCATGAAGGTATTGGTTGAATTTTGTCTTTAAAATGCTGATATTTTGTTCATCAAGGTTTTTTTTTTTGCATTGTTTTGACTTTCTCAAATAATTTTTAAGTAATTTTGATTTTTAAATTTAATTTTTAAATTAAAATATTTTTCAAACCCAGTTTTTTTCAAGATAGCCATTTTTCTTCAAGACAACCATTATATCTTGGTATGGAACACAAGTGTTTTATGCATATTTCCCAAATTGTCACAGAAAATATTAAAAAGATGTACTTAAGAATCCAGACTTAGGGCTTCCCTGGTGGCACAGTGGTTAAGAATCCACCCGCCAATTCAGGGGACACGGGTTCGAGCCCTGGTCCGGAAGATCCCACGTGCTGCGGAGCAACTAAGCCCGTGCACCACAACTACTGAGCCTGCTCTCTAGAACCTGCGAGCCACAACTACTGAAGCCCGCACGCCTAGAGCCCATGCTCTGCAACAAGAGAAGCCACTGCAATGAGAAGCCCGCGCACCACAATGAAGAGTAGCCCCGGCTCGCCGCAACTAGAGAAAGCCTGCATGCAGCAACAAAGACCCAACGCAGCCAAAAAGAAATAAATAAAATAAATAAATTTATTAAAAAAAAAAAGAATCCAGATTTAATAAAATTAATAATCTTTACTACTTCATGAAGGATATTATGTGAAATTGACTTTTTTTTTTTACTATGTGTACACAGTGGCCATAAGTTTTACTTGCCATTACTTTTACACCATTAATGCAAATGCCAATATAGTAAAAAAAGACCCAAAAAATCTTAGAATTATTATGAAAATACTTTTGGTCCCACACACCCCTTGAGAGGGTCTTGGGAAACTCCAGAGATCTATAGACCACACTTTGAAAACTGCTGCCTTAAAGGATAAGGTTTTAATGATTTAAAGGTTAAAACCATTAAAGGTCAAAACCATTATCAATAACAAGCTAAAATCCTCAGTCAGATGGGGGCAACATAATTATGACTTACTCCAAAGTTAGTTTTGCAAAAATAAGTGAAGAGTTAAAGCAAATTGATCCATCTGTCATATAAACAGTACTAAGCAATTAGGAGATCTTTGAAACTAAAGGTAAGGTATGAACAATATGTAAAAGAATCTGAATGCCTTGAATATAATCAGTGATCTGAAAGCAGGGCCATTTTAGGGCAACCCATCCCTCGCCTCCCCTGCCTCCGGGGAATGAGGAAGCAGAGGAAACTATAGCAATAGCGGGAAGATTAAGGCAAACATACCACACACAGCATCCCTAGGCTGTTCAAAGATCCTGGGGCCAGTCTGCCTGGTAGTAAAGCTCTCTCCTGCCACTTCCTAGCATACAACTGTGGGCAAATTCCCAAACCACTATCTGTCTCAGTCTTCTCATGTGTAATATGAATATAATATTAAATATACCTTCCTCATATGATCGTTGTAGAGAGTTCATGAGATGACGTAAAGCACTGAGCACAGTGTCTGAGAGAATAAATATTTAATGAATGTAACTTACTGAAAACAAGCATACTTCTGTACTGATTCATTGCCCTGTGTTCAGTAACTTTCCCTCAAATGCACAAATGCTTAATTAGCCAGCCCACTGTCTTACTGTGTTAGGTGTTCAGTAAAGGCTACGTCCTCCCTCCAGCCAGACTGGGAAGCCTGTCTAGACCTGTCATTTCATCCATGCTGCTTTGAGTGTCATGGCTTTCTCACCAACAATTCAATGAGAAATCTGATGCTTAAATGTGAAAAAGTGTATCAATGTGCAAATTGTTATATAAAAATGGAAATGTTTGTTATACAGTAGAATTATGCCTTATATTTTCTTAAAATTATTTTTATTGATGTTGAAAATACGTTTGAAAAGCAAAGGAATTGTTTTTAAACATCAAAGCTAGCAAAACATTTAACCCACCAACAGAAAAACATCAACCTGGCTTTGCTAAGAGGTCTCTGTGGTAGACAAAATAATGCTCCCCTACAAAGATGTCCACATCCTAATCCCCAGAACCAGTGAATATGTCCTTTTACATGGCAAAAGAGACTTTGCAGATGTGATTCAGTTAAAAACCCTGAGATGGGGAAATTATCCTGGATTATCCTTGTGGGCCCAGTGTAATCACAAGGGTCCTTAAAAACAGACATTTCACCAAAGAAGACATACAGATGGTCAAGAGGCACGTGAAAAGATGCTCAACATCACTAATTATCAGAGAAATGCAAATCAAAACTACAATGAGGTATCACCTCACACCAGTCAGCAGTCAGAATGGCCATTATCAAAAAATCTACAAACAATAAATGCTGGAGAGGGTATGGAGAAAAGGGAACCCTCTTGCACTGCTGGTGGGAATGTAAATTGATACAACCACTATCGAGAACAGTATGGAGGTTCCTTAAAAAACTAAAAATAGAACTACCATATGACCCAGCAATCCCACTACTGGGCATATACCCTGAGAAAACCATAATTCAAAAAGAGACATGTACCACAATGTTCACTGCAGCTCTATTTACAATAGCCAGGTCATGGGACCAACCTAAATGTCCATCAACAGATGAATGGGTAAAGATGTGGCCTGTATATACAATGGAATATTACTCAGCCATAAAACGAAACGAAATTGAGTTACTTGTAGTGAGGTGGATGGATCTAGAGTCTGTCATACAGAGTGAAGTAAGTCAGAAAGAGAAAAACAAATACCGTATGCTAACGCATATATATGGAATAAAAAAAAAATGGTACTGATGAACCTAGTGGCAGGCAGGGCAGGAATAAAGATGTAGACATAGAGAATGGACTTGAGGACACAGTGGGGGAGGGGGAAGCTGGGGTGAAGTGAGAGTAGCATGGACATATATACTCCACCAAATGTAAAATAGATAGCTAGCGGGAAGCAGCCGCATAGCACAGGGAGATCAGCTCCGTGCTTTGCGACGACCTAGAGGGGTGGGATAGGGAGGGCGGGAGGGAGGCTCAAGAGGGAGGGGATATGGGGATGTATGTGTGTGCATGTGGCTGATTCACTTTGTTGTGCGACAGAGGCTAGTGCAGTCTTGTGAAGCAGTTATACTCCAATACAGATTTTAAAAAAAAAAAAAAAAAACAGAAGAAGAAAGCAGAAGTCAGGCAGGGGAAGATTTGACTATAGAAGAAAGGCACAGAGAGATACAACATTGCTGGCTTTGGAGACTGAGGAAGAGGCCACGTGCCAAGAAATGCGGGCAGCCTCTAGAAGCTAGAAAGGTCAAGGACACAGATTCTCCCCTAGAGCCTCCTGAAAGGAATGCAGACCCACCAACACCTTGATTTTAGCTCAGTGACACCCATGTCAGACTTCTGAACTACAGAATTGTAAGATAATAAAGTTGTGTTGGTTAAGCCACTAAGTTTGTAGTAATTTGTTACAGCAGCAAACAGAAAACTAATACAGTCCCAAAGGTTATCCCAATCACCCTTGGTATGCTTCAGTGCACAATAAAATAAGTAGCCAGGTCACCAGGCTAGGAACTAATCATTCCCTTGGCTTCACTCAGCTTCCCAGTGCAGCTTCTGGCCATTTAAATGCCACAAAGTAAGAGACTGACCATTAATGACAGTTCCCACCCCTGAAGATTTGGATTCTAAAGGTCTGGGACACAAGAACATCTATGTATAACTGGTGACTCTATTAGAGATGGTTGGTGGGCCACACTTTGAGAGACATTCATTTTACTCACAGGAGCTTACAATTTAGGTGCTAAGTAAATAGAATTCTGGTCCATAATAGATGAATAAATATGCATACTTCCAAAGAGAAATTAACAGCCAGGGCAAGGGTAAAAGGCTGGAAATGGCCCAGAACACATAAATCCTTCCACATGCTTATGTTAATAAAAACGTGTCATAGAATTAAGCCAGATGAGATCACTGTCTGCTCCCTCCAGTGCTTCAGGGCTCTGGAGCAGGCAAAACAGAATGCTGGCAGCCCTGCAGACCTCTCATGAAAAAGTGTCCCTGGTGAGCACAGCCCCCCACCTGTCCTACCTGTCCCACCTGCTTCTTTATGAGGTGGTAATGTGCTGGCCCAGGGTGTGTCATCTTCAAACTGAACCCAGCTGCTGATGGCTGAAGCCAGGTCAGGTTGAGGCTGCTCAGGGCTCAGGGGAGGGGAGGCCGCTTCAGAGATGAGGCCCATCTTTTCAGAAGAGTCATCGTGCTCTGAGGGGGAAAGGTCCTGAGAGCCTCCATCCACCACACGGTTCTCCCCAGAAGAGATCTCGGACTGGTCTGAGGAAGACGATGGTCCTGGGAGGTGCTCTTCAGTGCCCCCTGAAACAGATACCAGAAACTACCATCACATCATGCGAGGAAGGCCACTCTTCAGAACTGTCTCGTGGAGGAAAAACAAAGGACAGGCAAGCAGTGATCAAAGGACTCACCATTACAGGGTGTGAGGGCAGAAAAACAGCCATGCCCACCTGCCTCTATGCTTAAAGAGTGTTTACCTTAAAATGTATAAAAACTATACCCTAGGATGTCCATAGCAGTCTCCATGCAGGCTGAGACTGGGAGTCTTGTTCACTATTCTTATCCTACCATCTACTCCAGTGCTTAGGGGTCACAAACAAAATTCCTACAGAGGCCGAGCAACAGATAGAACTAGGTCAAATTAGAAAAGCGAAAGGCAATGGGGAATGGTGGAGACTGTGGCTCAACAGGAGAGCTTCTGTCTGGACTAAAAACATTCAAATTCGAACTCTGCGCCGTCCAAACAACACACATCTGCGAGCCACCATGTGCAAACCTCGCACTAATGACCAGCTAAATATGGCACAGAGGCCCTTCCTCTAGCTTTTGTATCACTGTATTGGTCCTGGAACATTTAAGAGCCTTCAAAAATTTGTTTTTAAATAACAGAACTAGATCCCAATTGTGGTGGTGATTACACAAATCTATACGTGTGTTAAAATTCATCAACTGTAGACCAAAAATGGTCAATTTTACTGTATGAAAGTGTTTAAAAAATAAAAGTACTGATGTGAAACTCCTTTCTCCCATCACTAGCCAAACAAACAGGTCTACCTGAATGTAATTATTTAGATAAGCGCTGTCCTAAAAAAGTAAAAGGTGGGCCATATACGAATTTTAAATTTTCTAGTAGCCACATTTTAAAACTAAAAAGAAACAGGCAAAACTACTTTTAATAATACGTATTTCAACTCAGCATGTTGAAAATGTGTAATATCAACATGTAATTGATAAAAAACTGTTAATAAAACATTTAACTTTTACTAGGTCCTCAAAATTCACTGTGGGTATTTCACATTTATAGCACATCTCAATTCAGACTAGCCACATTTCAAAGGCTCGATAGCCACACGGCTACTGTATTGGACAGCACACCTGTAAACTCACACTTTCCAGGTGCTGTAAATGAAGCTGGGACGATTTCAGGTGGCAGTAGCAGCGGCCATGGAACAGAAGCAGCTGACGTGGTTCTGTAAATAGCTCCCGCATCCTACCTTGACCTTTATCCCTCAGCACAGTTCCCCAGAAGTCAATCTAGCCACCTTCATCATGATCACGGGTGACAATTATGAGCTCTTTCCATGTGCCAGTCACTGCTGTAAGCACTTTACATGTTAATTCATTTAATCCTCACAACCACCCTGAGGTAGGTACTGTGATTACCCGTACTGCACAGATGAACCACCACCCAGGGAGGTTAAATCACTTATCCACCCAAGGACACATCATTCATCCATAATGGAGCCAGGATTTGAGTCCAAGGGATCTGGCTCCAGCTCCTGTCACTCTTGACAATTATGCTTTAAAAATTGAGACAATCCGAATTGCTGTTGGGAATAATAACCGAAAAGACTGAGCATAAAGTACTTTGGAAATAGGAAGTTAATGTTCATTGGAAGAAAGCAGCCAATACTTTTGGTGTTTCCAGGTCCTTGTTTGGGGCCCTAGGTTCTAAGATGTTTCCTCCAGGCTTCTAAGTGGAAGAATCTGGACCTCAAGAAAGTGACAAACTGGCTCTGTTTCCCGTATCAAGATCCCCCCCCAAAAGAATGATGAAATAGAAGCCATAACAAGCAGGTGTGGTTCTTTGTTAATCTTTTCACTTAGGCGATGGAAGTTCTCCTTACCCTCAGAAGGGACAGGAAAGAGCGGCTCCTCATTGAAAGAGACCCACTCCGACTGGTGGGTAGCGATCACATGGTCCAAGGTCGTCATGCTAGGAAGGTGCTGGTCATCTTCACACTGCTGGCCTCAGGCAGACCCCAGAGCAATGCCTGGGGTGGGGTGGGGGTCTGGTAGCACAGTGGACTTGGGCCTGGGGTCTGTTATGGGGGTCTCGTGGAGAGTGGCACTCAGAACGTAGACAGATTAGCCTCTCTTGCCTTTGGTTAATCTGCCAAGTGGAAATCTGTTTAAAAAATAAAAATTAAAAGGGATAACCATCACATTATAACCAATCCACACAGGTCTTGAGCTTTCAACACTGCCCACAAGGAGGTCTGGGTCGTTTCCAACCTATTTACCTTTCTCTATCCCTGTCTTGCCTTCACTTCTCTTACAGAAATATCTGCGTTTAGCATCAAGATCTCTGTATGTGCCTTCAAATCAGACATAAATAATCACGCAGATTTTAGCAATTAGATTCTCCAATTTTCCCAGTTACTATATTTTGGAAATACTTTTATCTATAAGGCCATCATTGTAGAACAAATATTAAAATTTTTCAAAGTGCTTTCACTTTCCTTTACCAGATGGCAAAATAAAAGCATGTTCTTTCCTATTAAATCAGTGTGGTTTGTTGCCTTAGGCAGGTAGCTCTTTGCAAGCCTGATTTAAATCTTTGGCAGAAACCCAACCATCTCCAGATGGTATCTCCAAGCATGATTTACCAATCAAGAAAAACAGAAAAGGAGTCATCTTATTCATTTGGAGTAAGGGGGTAGGGCATATTTACTTTAGTGGAAAATGTGAGTTAAAGAAACACATTTTCACTCTAGGACAGTTTGAATTAGTATGTAAAAGTCTAGCCTTTACTCACATTGCAATTATGTTCCATGTAAGGATACTTAATAGACTCATAATACTGCTTGTACAATTAATGTCTTTTTACAACTGGAACCTAACTCTTGATCTTATAATGAATTAGTAAAATCTGAATTAATGTTTCCACATAAGAGCTACTATCCACCTTGAACAGCATCAGTTCTTATTAACTGAATACTCACAATATTCACTTTAGTCTAGAATAATTTAACTTATAGCCTTCTAGCTGGTGCACAATAAAAAGAAAACATTGAAATTTTACTACAGGTTATTATCTGCAGTAAATAATCTATGCTAACGATAAAGAGAATAGAAACATTTAATAGCTTTTGTTTTGGTAATTAAAACAATTAGTTTTGTTGCATGATGCTTCCTAAAAACGAGTAATGTTTCCCACAGAATCTATAATTTTCAGAAACCTATTTTCATACCATACTTTGACTGAATAGCCATTGTAGTTGGGTAAGTATTATTATAATTCTTTCACAGAGGAAGAAATCTGGGCTGAGAGAAGTTAAGTGACTTATCCAACACTTTTGCTGTTTCAAAGCCTTTGTTTGGTGCCCTAAGATTCTAAGATGTTTCTCCCAAGTTTCTAAGTGGAAGAATTCACACATCCTAGGATAGTGACAAATGGACTCTTTTTATTCCATAGTAAGAGACCACCAAAAAAATGATCAAGTAGAGGTCATAACAAGCAGGTGTGTTAGATGCACCAAGCTAGGAAGTAACAGATGCAACACTTGAGCCCAGGTCTTCTGATGCCGAAACACTCTAATCTTTGGGTCATAGCCACAAAGAAAAATACTAGAGAATATATATAGACTACCACCAACTAAAGTACTTTACAGACATTAATGACAATGGAACCATAATGAAATGATCGGTGAAACTCCTCACTGGAAATCTGCCAGGGAATCCAAGCTGTGCGCAGAATGGAAAGTCCAGAAACCTCTCTTCCAAGTTCCTCTCCTAAGATCCTTACCAATCACAGGACCAGACATGTGCTAACAGCCTGGAGAGTGAGTGCTCCAAACCAGATCTCACCAGAGAACCAGGCAGGGCCCACGGACCCAAAGAGCTGATTCCAGTGGGCTTCTCCCATTAAGCCTTTCTCAAGCCCGTCAAATGTTAGCATCACTCAATGTGGCAATGGCTGCAGGCCAAGATAAGACAGTAAAATTGAAGAGTCAGATTCCCCCTCTCCCAACAACAGCAGCATGCAAACCAGTTCCAACAACCACCACAAAGCCACAATACTACAAGTCCACGTGCTGACATTTGCAGCATCATAGCTCAATGGGGAAAACATCCTGCCCATCCCATGATGATGAATCCAGCGAAATTCACGGATGAGTGTGGGTGGATGAGGGGAAGGGGAAGGAGAGAAGGAAAAGGGTGAAAATAATGGAGAAAATGTCTAGAAATTTTAGAGCTCCAAGATTTTAAAGACCAGTAGTCCAGCTCTCAAGTTTTACAGATGGAAAAAAAACCCAAAAAAACTCAGGCCTAAGGAAATCAGGCATAGTAACAACAGAGATTGAAATGGGCTCGGGAGTTCCACTGTCTGGATTTGAGTACTGTACGGTCTTTAAGCCTGCAGCAAAACTCATGTCATAATTTTAAGGATTAAATAAGATAACATACACCAAGTGCTTAGTACTGGGACTGGAAAACCCTATGTAACAATGATGATGATCATAGCAGGTGAGCTTACAGAGGGCTTACTGTATGCCAGGCCCCAATCCAAGCTCTTTATAAATGTCAACTATGGTCATCGCTGCCGTAGGTAAATGACTCACACAAAGGTACACTGTTTGCTAGTCGAAGTCTTGGGACCAGAACACAAATTTCACAAAACCACCCCGTTTCTGTCACTTACACATTCTGATTTCAGTGATTTCCCTTTTCAGTGCTTTTTAGAGCAGTTCTCCCAGATGCTAAACAGAGTCACGCACTCAACTCCCTCTTTATAGATGCAAGCGCTTTCTGGCTGAGGAACCAAGACTACTACTCAGAAGTATGAACAAAAGAAGAGCCCCCAAGATTTATCTACCCTTCCTCAACTTGCCCATCCCAGATCCAGACATGGCTGGTTACAGACCATGAAAAGTCTCAAGAAAGGCTGGGGGAACAAATTTATCACTGGGAACCGCCTATCATAACCCTGTGAAATGGATTCTAGGTATTTGCCATGAAACAGCTATATCCAGTGAACCCTGAGATGCCTGACCTTGAGGAGTGCTGGGCGAGCAGCTGGAAGCCCTCAAAGGAACCTGATCATTGTGAGGCTACGTTCACAACGGAATTGGTTTCTCTGTAAAAACCTCACCCCGTTTTTAGAACATGAATCATAAAGTGAGGCTTAGAATCACCACAAACGAGCAGTGACTCACTATCAGTAGCAGTGCTGACCAAGAGACACTAAAAATCTCACTAAAGTCTCTGGGCTGCCATTCCAGAGAGAAGCTTCTTCCTCGGCTTCCCTTACACGCTAAAATGGGGCGGGGGTGGGGGTGGCGGGTGGAGAATGCAGTTGACTGAGAAGATGGGAGTCCGAGAAATAGTTCTGCCTTATGCCAATCTTCTAATATGCATTCAGGAGCCCTAGGTGTCCAGAAACGTATCTGGCACCCTTGGGATATTGAGCGATCAAGCAGCTTGCAATCTAGCTGTGGAGATGAAGATGCTCAGGATAGCAAACACAACAAATCTGGGAACAACTGCTTGCTGGAAGACACACCAGAAATGCCGTGACAGTATGGTCATAGATCTGCAAGGGCTGGAACCATAAGGGACTAAGCAGGTTTTTGGATTTGAAGGACATCCTGGGTTCTGAAACACTGGAAGGGAAGAGTAAGGACATCCTTGGGACAGGGGTTAGTCTAAGTGACAATTAAGAATCAGACCTTCATGGGACTTGTTTTTGGACCAGTAAAGAGGTCAGTCTGATGACTGCTGAGGTATCTACTGGGGAAATGTGGGGAGAATGGACTGATGGACCTTAACAGCTGAGGAGAAGAGTTCAGTGGGAAATGGGAAGTTGGTGAAAGTCTACGAGCAGACAGTGACCCAAGAGATGTGCTTATGGGAGATAAACATTCCTCAGACTGTACCGAGCAGGAATTTGGTGATGGAAGCTATCAGCCACAACAGGACCCTAATGTGTCGCACAGAGCCAGGGGCCAGCATCATCAGGAACATGTACTGGGTACTCTGTGCTGGACCCATTCTAGGGCCTGACAGTACAAGGAAGACTGAGATGGCATCACTAGCCTCTAGTAGCTTACAGTAGAATGCAGGGAGGTATGACAGTGACATAATAACACAATAGGCTCTTTAACCTATTGTGACAAGTTAGCCATCAAAACAATGACAGCAACCTTATAGAGAGCTAGGGTGTTAAGAGACTACCAAGGGCTTGAGCAGTAGGTGGTCATGAGCTGCATCTTAAATGGGAAGGGAGGGCTCTGAGAAAATGAGCAGAGGGGCAAAGGCATTCGAGGAAGAAGGAGCAGAAATGGCATGTCTAGTTCACAGTGAGTTACGCTCTGTTTATCTGAAGAGGGTGGGAGTGAGTTGAGTGCACTGGAAAAGGAGGGGTTGGGACAGTGACAGTTCTCAATTTTAGGATGAGTTTGAACTCTTGAAACTACCCTTTCAGTTCCCACAGCCATTGCCTTGGTTCAGCCCCTCCATGTCTCTCATTCAGACAGTTAACTAGTCTATTACCTCTCTCCCTGCCTTCAGCATTATCCCCTCTAACCTATTATCCAAACAATTATGCCAGCGTGGTCTGCTTAAAACCTGAAGATGCCCATGCCACAGCTCTGCTTAAAAAGTCCTCAGCGGCTCCTTTCTTCCTGTGTTAGCCAGAGTCAGTTTTTGTTGTTTGCAATGAAGAACTCTGATACACGGTACCCTTCCTTGACTCCCACTAATCCCACTTGTTCCTTATCCACCATGTCTTCTGTATGCTGGTAGTATCTTACCTACTCTCATTTATCAAATGATAATGAACCTGTTTGCTAATATGGCTATCATGTCAATTAGCCTGTGAGCTCCCTGAGGAAAGCGACTGGATTTTGTTCTTGTGGATATCTCCAACTCTTTGACTAGGGTCTGGCATTTAGGAAATGTTTATTGAGTAAATAGCTTAACGAATGAATGAAAGAATGGACAAATTAACTTGTTTTACCACATAGTAGGTAGCTTCTTCAGGTCTTCTGAGCTGGCAAATGTTTTAGAAAGGTTAATTTAAACACCATGTAGCACTTTCCTGGTGGTGCAGTGGTTAAGCATCCGCTTGCCAATGCAAGGGACACAGGTTTGAGCCCTGGTCCAGGAAGATCCCACATGCAGCGG